AAAAAAAAAAAAAAAAAAAAAAAAAAAAAAAAAAAAAAAAAAAAAAAACCTGATAAGAAACGAAGGCCATACGTATCACTGGAACGGATCCATTACAGTGAATCTGTTGAAGAACGAAAAGAAGTTCACAAGAACAGAGAAAATTCCATGTGGGTGTTCATGGATTGAGGATTAGAGCGAAAAGAAGGGGAAATTACAGAGGCATAAGGAATGATCTGAAGAGGGGATTTGAAAGAAGATTGAAAGTGAACAATGAAACGAAGATTTAAGAAGGATTGGGATATGAGAAACAGTGGTGAAGGTCACTTGAAGACCTGCCCATATGAATCACAGAGAGAAGAGGCGTAAACGAAAGAGATATTTGTTGAATGCCAAGATTTGGAGCAAAAGTCCAATGTATTCCGAGGCTTCAAATTGCAAGGTCACTTTGGTAATTCGAAAAATACCACTTAATTTGTAGTTTATTTCAAATAATTCTATTTTTCTCATTTATTTTTTATAGAAAATAAAAATTAATACTTTATTTCAAACCCATCTTAAAAAATAATAATTAAAAATATTTTTACCCGTTTTAAAAAAATAGGGACTTTCATCTTGACACCTATTCGTGTAGTCCCTAGTTGTAACCGCCAAGATCCACTGTTAACAGATATTGTCATCTTTAGGATTTTCCTTTCAGGCGTAACTACCCAGATCCACTATTAGTGAATATTGTCCTTTTTGTGCTTTTCCTTTCGGGCTTCCCCTCAAGGCTTTAAAAGCCGTATGCTACGGGAAGGTTTTTCCACACCCTTATGAATGGTGATTTGTTCTCCTCTCCAACTAATGTGGCCCCAGTGTCCTCGCTGACACTCTTTCCTTCCTCCAATCGATGTGGGGGCGGTCCCATATTTACTGGCACACGGCTTCGTGTCTACCCCCCTTCGGGGAACAGCGAGTCCTAGTTGTAACGGCCCAGATCCACCGTTAGCAGATATTGTTCTCTTTACCGCCTCGTGTCTACCCCCCTTCGGGAACAACGAGTCCCTAGTTGTAACGGGATATTATCCTCTTTCCCTTTCGGGATTCCCCTCAAGGCTATAAAACATGTCTGCTAGGGGAAGGTTTCCACACCCTTATAAAGGGTGGTTTGTTCTCCTCCCAACTAATGTGGGACATCACACTAGTCCAACGAGGATTGATTTACAGGTTCGCCTGTTTCTACACTTCATTTGGATCCATGTCTTGAGGTAACTGTAGTCTATAGTTCTTCTTGAGACATGGTTTAAAACTTTCTTGGTCCTCTTCTTTCATTTATGAGTCTCTAAAATTACTGTATTTCTCGTTAGGTCAATCAAATGAGACCCAAAACTTCAAACAAAAAATATAAAATATCACAAAATCCAACAACTTACGTTAGTAAAATATTTTAAGTCCCGATGGATCCATTAATCGCTTACTTATTCTCCGTTCTTCTTGTTATATAGTCTATAAATCTCGAACCACCAAAGGATCTATATGGAATTAAATGTTTTAAAAATATTGTACATTGGTAGCTGAGCAAGAATTTGAGTCATAATTGTCATAACAACTCATGGGAGAGAAAAGAAAGAAAACACGTGAGTTACTAATATTTATGTTTGAGAATGCTCGGAAATTAGAGATGTTCTTCAAAATTCACAACTACTATAGGCATGGTAAGCTTTCTTAGCCCCTTCTTGAGTATAGTGGATGTTAATTAGGTTCTTAAGGCAACTAGTTAGTTCAAATTTTGGACTATCATTTCCAAGACTTTTTGGACTAGCGCTCAGAGTTAATTTAGTTTTGGAAGCACTATGGTTCAGTTTTCTTACTGTCTCTCACAATCTTGAGGTGAACGGTTTATTGGAAGTGTCTTGACCTTGGCCATCGTAAAACTGTCTTAGTTTAGCACTCTATTTTATCTCAATTCATTTATGCATGCTCGAACAATTCTTAAACTCATATAAGAGTTTCGAGAGTAGCAGAATTCGATTTATATTATAACAACGGGAAAAATAAAATAATAATAAATAAATAAATAATAAAAATATTAAAAAAAAAACATTTGGTAACAGATTCCTCCTCCTTCCTTCAATCTCTCACCACTCCTTCCCTAAAAATAAATCGGTGAACAAATCAGTAATTCTTTTTCTTTTCAGTAAAAACAACTACAGATTTACCCTATCAGAATTTCTTCTTCCTACAAAAACAAATTAAAAAAAAAAACAAAAGGTTTAACTAGATTTAGTTCGGCCTATGTCATTTGAGGAGTTCAGTAGTCGTATGTTAAATCTTCCTTCTATTTTATTAAGATTTGTTTAATAGAATTTAAAAAAATAAAACAGGGGCAAGTAACTCCATTAAATTTAGTCTTAACACTAAATATCAGAATTTAACAATGGCCCATGTAAATTAGGGAAATAATTTTATACAGTTCAAACTTGAAACTAATGTCATGGGCTATGTTGACTTAGATTTCAATGAACTTTCATTAAGGATAACGACAGAACATCATCTTAAGCTAACCAGATAAGTGACCTTACTATCGGCATGGTTATATTTTGATGTTGACACGTGCCCTGTGGTTCTGCACGTGTCGTATATATTGATATGTGTGAATTGTCTGTGGATCGATGTGCTTCCTATATGTTATAATATATGAATTGTATGATAATAGTTACTGTACGATGTGTTCAAGGATATGTTTGAGATAGGATACAAGAAGGATGCACAAAACGAAATGTAACGATAGGAGTAAAGTACGTTCATGAAACGTTAAGATTAGGTTACATACCGGAGTGATATGGATAAGAGAGATTGATGGAAGAATACGGTTAGGTTACGGGTAGAAAGGGATAGGTTTGTGATAGATTGATAGAACGATAGCGTTAGGTTAAGTTCTTGTGATGATATGACTAGGGTATGTTCACGTAATGATATGTATGTGATAGGTATAAGAACGTCAAGACTATGATAAGTTAGAGAATGATATGACTATGAAATGTTTACGTTATTACTTGTTTATGATACATTGTGAAGCAATATGTCATGGTATGATGTGTATATGATGAAATGTTATGTTAAAAGCATAGAACGTTATGTTAGGTCTCTTATATTTGAATGTAAATAGCATGAATTGTATGACATGAAACACGATAAACTGTCTGGAATCATAACCTCGATAGGAATATGTATGAAATGTAAATTGAAAATGAGAATGACATGAAGCATGTAACGTGACAGGGGGTTATGTTCATTAATAATAAATGTAGAAGTAGGGGGGACCTCATGCATTATGTGTGTTCATGCATCCGAGGGGATACCCATATCCCATCACGAGGGTACGGACGCGTACATCCAATGGCAGGACAACGATCGTTATGCTTGCATACCGCTGCCGTCGGTTACTAGTTTTAACGGGTCCCAGCATAAGAGGCTCCCAGAGTATGCCCACCAGATAAGGAAAGTGGCTCAGCGGTGTGCGAACTAGCTGGTGAGCCCATACTCGCACGTATGGGCTGTGTGTAGAGTATATGGTACACATTCACGATTACCCGTTAGGACAGCACCGTAAGGAAAACAAAATGAAACGAAACGAAAGATAGGTCCCATCATTTCATTGCATGTGATTGTTGCATTTAACCCCAATAGTGGGGTTACTTACTGAGTATTTGATAAGATAAGGAACCACTACAAGGGGAGTAATATTCGGATTACCTTGTTGATCGAATATCTCAAGGCAAGAACACTTGTTTGAGATTCGAATCACTCCACAAGCAAGATCGATCATGTCTAGCTTGAATGATTCTTGTTGATCAAATATCTCAACGCAAGAACACTTGTACTTAATTGTCATAATTAACCATTATGTAATTGTAACCTAAAGTAAATAAAAAGTCCAAAACTCTAAATTACTCTAAATTGTAGCTCACCCAAAATTTATAACAATCAAACTTCATTCTTCTTCAACGTGGCATGAATTGAAACATCTTTTGATAATTTTGACAACCTTTTCTTCACATCTTCATTGGAGTATATTGTATGATTGATGTTTTTTTGGTTCATATCAGTATTTCTTTAAATACTCAAGTCATGTGCTACTACATTTTTTCAGGTTTAGGCAAGACATTCCTATACGGCTGATAATGGCATCGCAACTCGAGACCATGTCACATGCATAGGGTAGTGGTATTTGTTTTCTTAGACTTAGGCTAGACTAGGTTGTTTCTAACTTAAACTCTTATTCATTTTATTTAGTCTTTTGTGGTGACGTTTTAAAGATGTTTTCGAAACACGTAAGTCCATGGCTGTGTTTTAAGATAAAGGTTATGTTTTATGAAATTGTAATGAAGTATTCCGCATTCAATGTTTATGGTACATATACGGTAGCGACCTTAAATTAAGTAGAAAATTTTGGTTCGTTACAGGTATAATATGTCATTCTAAAATCTCCTTTCAAGGGCATTTCAGTCATTTGTAGACAACATATAAATCATACTTATCATTCTAGTTATATAAGACCGTTCATGTTCATATTCGCATGCTAGTATACTCTAGCAATTCCTTAAAGCACTATTCGAAAGGAATCCAAATGGTTACTTATTTGATCTTGTTTATGTTTGGCTCGTTACTCAATTGAAGTCATAATGAGATGAAAATTGTTGACTCTCCTCAGGCTTAGTTGTTGGGCGTCCTTGGCTCGAAACTCAATTGAAGTGGGTTTCGTTCCTATTAACTTTGAAATTTGTTTCAAAAAGTATGCAGAAGTAAAGGTTTAAAGCACGAAAATAGTTTTGTTGTGGCTCGATAGCAACTAGCTCGACTTACTAAAGTATATTATCATCC